CTGCAAGAACAACCAGTGTTCTTAACTGCTGAGCCATCTCTCCAGCCCCTGTAGAGTATTTCTTGAGTAACCAAAACAATGTGTTACTTTAGAATTTGTCCATTTCAATAGCATTTGTGTATTTATAAAGTCTAGAAAAAACACATTTTACTTCTTAGTCTATAATTTTATTTTTAAAAAAGGCATCACTAAGTTAGTTCACAACAACTTAATTTCATGCTTTGTGCTTACGTTGGAAAATGAGAGATCATCTGACTGGAAGCATAAACATGTGATTTATAACAACATCTTCCTAAATATAAGCTCAGCAATGTTACCTAATCATTGGACAATTTTGGAAAGACTTTCACTCCTCTATATTTTTGAGCTTTATATAGAAAAACTAAGATGCCAATTAATATTTTTATAAACTGCTCACATCCAACATGGAGCTTTAGTACACAGTTGAAAATCTAACTCACTTGTCCAAAGAAATTTATCTTCACTAGAATCTAAAGAGACCCAAACTGCAATTTTACAGCTTTTCATGACTACCATTTTACTGTATTTACCATTATGGTTCAAGATCATAATATTTATATTTACATATATTTATTGCATAGATAGCAAGGAAAATTATTTAACAATTTCCAACCTTGGTTTTAGAGTTTTTATAGTCTAAGAACAAAATGTTACAGAAAGTTCAGCTAGGGCTGGGGCGGGAGTCAGTTTTTTTGTTTTTTTTTGTTTTTTTTTTTTTAAGGCTGTGATGAGCAGGCTCCAGGGGATGGGTCCACATGCAAAGCATTTGGGGAACACAAATTAGACTCGATAGGACTTTTGGAAAAACAATAATAATAGAGGACATGAAATGAAAGTGGAAGTAAGGTGGGGGGACTGAATATGATCAAAACACATTGTATGACGTTCTCAAAGAATCAATAAAATATTTTGAGTGTTACAGAAAGCTTAAAATCTTTATTCTTAAAAATTCAATAAAATGAATAAAAATATTTTAAAGTTATATGTTATAAATATGTTTAATCATATTCCATATTTCTAACTCAGTATTTCACTTTCTCTCCTCTTTTTTCCTCCCCGCCCTCCCCCCTCCAGTGATGGAAATCAAAGCCAGGACTTTGTACAAAAGTGCAAGTGATCTACCACTAAGTTATACCCCCAGTCCAAGACTATTTCCACCTACCTAAAATCTGAAGGAAACAAGCTCACATAAAGGCCAGAAATGGAGAAAGGCTGATCGACAGGTACCGAGTCACCATTAGACAGTGGAAGTTATGGCACACACAGTGGTGTGTCAGTAGTGTGACTGCAGACAATGATCCTGCACTGTAGTTCAAAAATACTTCTAAAATTATTCTCCCAATGATAATAGATAATACAAAATCCACACAGCAGTCCTATGGGGAATCCCCAACCTGAACCTTAAAATAGCTCTTAGATCAGCAGTAAATCAGAAGTGATTGGCATAACCTAGCCAAGACTTCACAGACGCAGGTATGTTTAGATTTTATTATTTCCACTCTTCTTTCAGATGCCTAGGTATCTGTCTTCTTTATAGTATTTAACTCTGCCTCTGTATTTGAGTATTGACTTCATACCTAATTATAAACAGTTCCATAATAAATGACCAAGATAACATGGCCATTTTCATACTTCACACATACTATTATCCACTTTGTATACATCAAAGGATCAATTCCCTTTACTGGAACAGAATAGCAATAAATGAGTATACTTACAATGAATTTTTAATTATCTAAATAGGAATAGAAATGTCCTATGATGAATAAGTTAAGATTAGTGTGCTTCTCTTTAGTGTCAAAGTTATTGTCAAATAACTTTGATTTTATTTATATAGCTAATAAGAGGGATAACATTCTAGAACCACATCTGAGGTCAATCTTGCCATAACTGACTTATAAATTAAACTATTTCTTACTCTAACTATCCATATGTTCCTTATAAATAGTATTGAACCATTTTGTGCTAAAAATAAGAAAAAGTGCATATAACACACATCACATATTACAGTATCAAATAACTTTCTATTATAAACAATAGGAAAAATCTGATACACATGTTCTTCAAACATAATTCTCAGGACCTAAGTCTATTACAAGTTCACATCAATAAAACTGCAAATTTTGCAATGTAAAGAACAGTAAAGTCAAAAGTTCATTTTCATTCAATATTTTTCTGTAACTGTCTTGAACTCCTGTTTTGAAGTCAATAGAATCATATTGTATAGTTTTCTAATTCTCTAAGGAGAAGAAACCAAAAGTTGTCTACCAGTCTCCCTGGATGAGTTTATAATTCATTATCGGGTAGAAAGCTGGAAACTTCCTGTACTTTGCTGATGCCAAGATCAAGTCAATATCCATAGGAGACCAACTATACTAATCAATCAAATTAGTGATTGAGAACTGAGATATGAGAAAATGTTTGACTTGCTCACCAAATCCACCCTTGCCTGTGAGCGTAGCCCAGGGTGCTCCACATTTAAGCAGTTATTAATGAGGTAATGTAGCATTTTAAGTATTAAAAATCATGGATTATTATAAATTATTTTTCTCGGTCATTTTATTGACAACAAAATTTGTTAGGAGTAAAAGAAGACAGTCAGAGGGCAGATAAGAATAAAATAAGAATAAAAGAGATTAAGGCACACGTCTTAATCCCAGCACTGGGGGGTGGGGTGGGGGGCAGAGGCAGGTGGGTCTCTGTGAGTTCCAGGCCAGCTGAAGCTATAGTGAGACCCTGCCTCAAAGAAAGGAAGAAAGAAGAGAGAGAGAGAGAGAGAGAGAAAGGAGAGAAAGAGAGAGAGAGATTGATTTATTGTCTATTTTGAACAACTCCAGATCTTCATGATTAGATTAGAAATTTGACATGTGAGAAACAGAGAAGTGTTTTGGTAGGGTATGTGGATGAGGGTTAAAATATAAATAACAGCTGGGCGTTGTGGCGCATGCCTTTAATCCCAGAACTTGGGAGGCAGAGGCAGGTGGATCTCTGTGAGTTCAAGGCCAGCCTGGTCTACATAGTGAGTTCCAGGACAGCTGGGGCTACAGGGGGACCCTGTCTCAAAAAGACACACACACACACACACACACACACACACACACACACATACACACACACATATATATATATATCACAGCAATATATTCATGTATAATAGAGTATAATTAAATAATACCACACATAGAATATTTAGAACAATGTTGATAATTTAAAAATGATGACAGGGATAATGGTGGTCCCTGCTGTTGTAATAAGATCAGTTTTAAAGTTAATTACAAATGCTGGAAAACAAAACTCAAAGCTTATTTTGTATTCCTTTGTTTGATAAGTTTATCCCAATACACTAAAAAAATCTTCAAAGTGGAAATTTTAGGGACTGGAGAGATGGCTCAGCAGTTAAGAGCACTGGCTGTCTTGCAGAGAACCCGGGTTCAAATCCCAGCACCCACACATCAGCTAACAATCATCTGTAACTCCTGTTCCAGTACATCCAACGCCCTCTTCTGGCCTCCTTGGGCATTGCATGAAATGAATGTACTTACATGTGCTTACGTACATGCATAACACTCATACACAAAATAGATAAAAAGTTATTTTAAAAAGTGTACATTTCAAATAGATTTATCCTGTTCTGAACAAATATCATGAGAAAAAAACCCTACCTCTTCTAAGCAATAAAAATAGACTGAAAATAGAAATTTCTAAATTTACAGTCAGTGGATCTGTGCTCAATTCTTGGCTTAACTGCTTTTAACTGATTCTGAGAAGTCTTTTAACATCTCTGAGCCTCATTTTCCTAATGCTAATGACATTATTGTTTACTCTGAGCTACTGTCAAAGAAAACTATAAAGTTTAAAAGATAAAATACTTCAAAATAATATTAATATTATAGATACATAATGTTACAGCTATCTTGGCTTTTTATTCATAAATGGCTATAAAATTGTCCCAAATAACCATATTGAGAAGGTTGTAACTGGGACAACTGCTATGGTCTTTGTTTGACGACACTGTTCATTATCTTGCAAAAGTCACTAAGTTTTGTTTTAAAATTATGTACTTATACTTGTAATAGATTTAGATTCTTAGGAAAAATATATTGCAAAGCACTTGTATCCCATTTTTACTACCATTAAGATATTATTCAGGTACACCAAAATTATAAGCAAACTATTATAATCTCTTTTGCTCTCATAGACAGTAGAAAATAGTGTAGCACAGAATATCTACCAGTAAATTTATCTGAGTTGTAATACAAAAACACCACAGATGGAGGGAAGGTATCTAATTAACTGTATTAACTTAGGGCAACCTAGGGTGCTTCTTGGACTAGTGTCCACATTTATTAAGAATTCAGGTATCAGATGATGATAAAAATTTCTCCTATCACTGAAATTACTGTGTTATATATGAAAATTCACATTCCTTAGTTTTTTTTAATCGTGGAAAATATAAAGAGCCTCTCAGGGGTGTCTAGGCAGCATTCTGTTAGACAAAGTTATAAGTATAATTAAAACAGTAAGAGATGTTTTTGCAATGTTTGTTCTTACTTGATTGTATAGTTCTCATGCGTGACCTGGGTAGATGACAACACTGTGTCATCATGTCAATAGGCTGGACCCCTCAGTGTGGAACCTAAGGCTTCTAGTCAGGCAAAAGTAGGCTAGAGCTAAGTTTCCATCTATGTTTTAAGCTTGCTCATGTACATTTGACATTTTAGCTCCTTACCATGGACATAGTAATTTCTTCTGCTGGTACAGTAAATGAGTTAGGAGTATTACATTCAGAGTTATTTTTAAAGCTAAATTTTCCTTTACGTTCCCAAGTATTATTTGGTACAATGTTAAGGTGGAAAAAAATTAATGGGTGACAGTCACAGAGGCAAAAATACACACACACATTCTAAGAAGTGAGAACGAAACACAAACTTTGATCACACTAGCCTACATTGAAGCTCAAGGAAGAGGAACTAGGTTACCTGTCTTCCTTTTAGTCCCTTCTTTCCGCGGATTCCAGGAATGCCCTAGAATACAGAAAAGTCTGAAGTAAGTATTTGTTGAATGAATGCTTTGGGTAGTAGAGATTTTTTTTTGAATATCAATGAATGAAATATGCCAAAACCAGAAATAAATTGTCATATAAACTAGTAAGATGCTTTAAAAGAAAAAAAAAAAAAGCTTCAGTATATTCATTAACTGAAGTAGCCTCTTTCCTTCTCCAAAACAGGTTCCTGATGTCATACATGGATCCACCATCTAAGCTTCCAAATGGGTTCCTTCCTGTCCCTGGGGATGATAGATATTTATGAGAAGCAGGCAGTCCCTAATAATGGAAAGCCAGATGAACAGGAACATCGTGTTTTCTGCAGCTAAAACAAGATAGATGCTCTCCTTTCTGTCTCCCTTCCTCTTTGGATGGATATCAGTAAAGTTAATTTAATCTTTGCATTGATGTCTTCCAATTGCATGTGAAACCAATTGAGGTAAGGCAGAGAGAAGAATTTTATCACTGTGCTCAAAATCATCTGGTTCCTAGATGCTGGCAATCTTTGTATTTCTGGTCATCTAAAAAGCAGCACAGCATAATACTTAAGCACCAGGGTTTAGAGCCAGAGTACCTGTGGCCAGATTCTAACCATTGCTGCTACCTGCAGATGGTCAAGGACAGGCTGCCTTCTTTTCATGTTTCATTCTCTTAACTGGAAATGAGAATAAAAGGACTTGATGTGTTGTGGGTATTAAAGGAGTTAATGTATATAATGTGTACAGCATTGTGTGTGTGTGTGTGCATGTGTGTGTGTGTGTGTGTGTGTGTGTGTGTAGCTATTTGGTAAATTCTGTGCTATTTTCATGGTTAGCTTTTAAATTTCCAATTTTTAAGTTATTAAGAGTTTGATTATCTATTTATCGGTGTCTAAACATCCTACTTAATAAGATGACTTTGAGATTACAGTAATTTATAATCCTTAGACACTGAGAAATTGATTGCTCAGAATTGGGCATGTCTGCACAGAGATATTTTCCTAACTAAAGATATTGCTTGAGCCCTGGAATTTGAGGCTAGCCTTGGCAACATAATGAATCCCTGTGATGAGAAAGAAGCAAAGGAAAGGAGGAGGGGAGAAGGAAGGAGGGCGAGGAATAAAGAGAAATGAAGGGGCAGAGAGGAGGGCAAGGGGAAAGCACTCTATCAGAACCGTGTAGCACGGTACTGATTAAATATACACATGCATCAGCAGATGCTATTGGTTGAAATTTGCCCATTTACTTTCAAGTTTATAATATTTGATACATACTTGTGTCTTTCTGACTATCAAAGAAGCATTCAGAAGTGAAATAGAGTACTCATTTCTTTACAGTTTTGTGTCTTTACAGAACATAGTTAACTTTTAAAGAAAACAGTAGATATTTATTTTCTCAAACTTAATCAGGCTCCCTTAAATCACAGAAGGAAACCTAGCAACACAAACAAGATTATAAAAGCATTTCCATATATTTGTATTTTACACATAAATGTGTACATATGTATGAATATATCACTGTGAATAGCCACAACACTGACTTTCAAAGGGGATTTTTTTCTTTCTTTTTCCAAGGGTGATTGTTGTAACAACATCCAGTTAGCTCTACCATTCATGGCATTAATGAGAGCTTGGATACATCCAAATAATAGAGCATAGTACATGACAGGCACAGTCTCATGAAATAGCCTCATATTGATGTATTGGACAAACTTGATATTTTCTTCTTTCTTTTTTTTAAACATTTATTTTTTTTTTATGTGTATGAGTGTATTGCCTGCATGTAAGTGTACCCATGTTATGCAATGTCCTCAGAGGACAGAAGAGGGTGTTGGATACCCTGGAATGGAGTTACTGCCATGTAGATGCTGGGATTCAAACCCAGGTCCTCTGCAAAAACAGCCAGTGCTCTTAACCACTGAGCCATCTCTCCATCCCAAAAGCTTGATATTTTCACATTAACTGCTCAAATAAGTGATTATGATTACAGCTCTCTGTTCCTGAGACCAGAGTCAACCCTGGGCTTAGGATCCTTCATCCAAGATGACAATAAATTTCAAGGACAGATAGTTTAAATTTATTTATTAACTCATTTGTTAGATATTAACTGCACACCAACAGTTTAGAAACAGACTGTGTCATATGCAGCAGTTGTTAACAATGGGAACTGAACATAATCCCTTGAATGGAGGATACTGCTCAATTCCTTGCATGATGAACAGGCTATCTCCTCCATCAGTTTGCTGTGTCACATGAAGGTGAAGTGACTTAGCTGCAGTTTTCTTCTGATAGCATATTTTGCTACGGAGAAAAATCTTGCTAGGTTCACCAGAGGAAAAAAATCTTCTGTTTTACCAAATAAGATCAGATGTTCTAATTGTCAGGATAGCACATTTACATTCTTTGAATATTTCCTCTCTGCAGAGGCATACACAACTAATTACATGGAAGTGTGATTTAATTCACTCACTCGAAACCAATATATTTGAAAAGCATATTCAACAAAGTATATGGTTCATTTTCATTTGGAAAAATCACTTTCTAAAAATGAACATTTTAGCTTGAACTGTATTCTTGTAAAGATAGAGTTAAAGGCCAAGTTCTGAATAAAGCATTCTAAAACTCTGTAGCAATATATTAATATTTTTTAATTCTACCATTGTCAGTTGATACTAATATAAATAAAGGAATACAAAGAGAAATTATTTAGACTGCATATAGCACTAATTGCGATGACACTGATGTGAGACCTCAGTATCTTCATCGATAAAGAATCATTGTGCAGAAAAACAAACAACGTATGTTCACCCTCATATGTGGCTCCTAGCCAAATCCTTTAAAATTCCAGGTCCTTTTAATAAGATGATGCTATACAGCCGTCCTTTCTGCATGAAATAACTACCACCATCACAACTTTGGCTGAGCCTGATCACTAAACATAGTCACAATTGGGCTCGTTGACAGTTGTGCTCATTCACTAAATGAGTGCCAAAGCAGGGTCACTGGACCCTCACCTGAGTATCCAGCCACTCTTCCCAGCCAACTAGTCCAGCCTTGGAAGACAAAAGAAAAATGAGGAAGAACCCAATAGAGGGATGCTTTTGGAAGCCCTTGTCAAGAAACTCCAATAGACTCTCATATGAACATTTGAAAAGTGCCCTGTTCCTACTTTTTTCTAGTTCCCTGTCTAGAACTTGTAATGCTAATTACTCTTGCCTTTACTTCTCCTCCTCACATCTCTTATTCATGATTCAAGGACTTTCTTCTTCCCTTAGAGACAAGAGTTATGCCATTTGGGAGACTTTTAGATAGACCCACAGAAGGGTACTCCAGTTACCTCACCCTGCATCCCTGTTCAGCACAGAAGAAGCCAGAGCGGTCTGCGTACCTATTCCTTATTGGCAATTTGGGTAACCCCTTCAGAGGATGGCATGATAAGAACAGGAGGTAGGAACTGGCTAGGCAGGGTAAAAGACCCCAAAGAAATGTAGCCAATTTCTGGGCTAAAAGTCAAAATGTCCTTGGGCCTGTTAGCAATACATCTGTTCCAAAGGCCAAAAATGTCAAAATGCCAAAAGTATTTGGGGGCTTCTATCTAATCCTTAAAATATTTTAGGGCTACCTCTTCAGAGGGGGAAATGTTGGAGGGGAGGGAGCGGGCATGGATTTGATCAAAACACCTTATATGCGTGTATGAAATTCTCAATAAAGTTTTTGTAAAAGTTAAAAAATAAAGATACTATCCTTATTCATAAGCATTATATATTTATAAGCAGCTGTGTCCTTTACTTAAATTAAGCTAATCTATTTCCTGAGACAAAATTCTTTACTGTACACTACACTAGAAAACACATGGTCCATCAAGTGTTTGTGTTCAAAGATTACTGAATCATAAAACAATTTCATAATCAGACACATAAATATTTTAACATGCACTTTAAATTGAACTAGAATATATAACCTTATATATTTATATCATGTTTCATATAAAAATTCAGTAAGATTTACAAGCCTTATTTGTCTTTCTAACAGGTGAATTTTCTTAAGCCTGGCTTGCACACTCAGTAAGATTATCACCTTGATATCTGAGTTTATGACCCCCATTGAACCATAAGGAAATTGCTTTAGGAATAGTAATATTCAAAGGAAATAACCTTACCCTTTCTCCTTCAGGCCCCAGCTGTCCTGCTTCTCCAGGAGAGCCAATAAAACCCTTAAAGCAAGAAAATAATCTTTATATCATTTCCTTTTACTATTTTCCCCATAAAAATCCTAAGTAGGAGTACTTAAAATGTTATATATATTAATGTTAATTTTTAAGATGTAAAAACATGAATTTCCCCTTGTGTTGCTGCTTTTCATCAAGAAGTTACATGTCAGTCTTTTCATTGATACAAAAGGGTGTGGGCTGTGACTTCAGACATGGCAGCTAATAAAAATTAGCAAGAGCAAATCCTTTCCTGCACTGATGCTCTGGGGCAGAAAAACAGAGAATACATATGAAGTTCACTGAAGTATAAGGCCGTTGGATGCATGGGAGACTGTAGGAAGTACAAGAGGGCATGATTCCAGAGTGACAGGAAATTACTGTACGTGTCTTTGCTTCTCCACTTCATCACGACTTCCTGGATTTGGATACATTCCTATGTAGATAATACTGCATATGTGCATACAGGACATTCTAATACATCTGATAGAAAGCCCAGAGTGGGACACAGACAGCAAAGATGAAAAGCTGACCGTGATGAGACTGTTTTCTCTGCATAAAAATGAAAACAGTGCAGATGGTCTTTTCAAACCAAACTTTCATACAATTCAAAGCCCCTAAAAAGTGTAAACACGGGATGCACTGCATGTATTTCAGTCCATTTGTTCAAGCATTTAAACTGAAGAAAATGCCTACTTACCCGGACACCCTTGGGACCCGGATCACCTTCTGGTCCAACTAAGCCCTAATGTGAACAAAGCAAGGTCATCATGACAGGTTACATTTAAGGAGTTAACAAATTGATAAAATATGAAGAGGCATCATTTTCAAAACTATAAAATCCAGAACCCTCTATACCTAAAGAAAACTACAATTGTTAAACAACAATTTTAGAATTTCAGAACCAGAGGTATTGCACAGAATGCATATGCAAATATATTTTAGTTATCCAAATATTATACATTGACATATAGTGTCACGTACAGCAAACCCTTTTTCACTAAAGTATTTCTCATTAGGAAATTATCTATGCTAAAACTTAATTTAAAATATATCCTGGCAAATTTTTAAGAGAGGAAACTTTTTTTTTTTTTTTTGTCTTTTTGAGACAGGGTCTCCTTGTAGCCCCAGCTGTCCTTGAGGAATACATTTTAAACTTTAAATTATTGTCCTTTTAATTTTGTTAACAATAGGTTTAGTTTTTACCTTTTCATTTCTCTTTTATTGATGCTAAGGATATAAATGTCCCATTCTACATTTAATTATTTTTAGGAATAATCATTTTATGAAAACCTAGGAAGGACAATTTATTATTAGTCTACAGGAAGTTTCTAGAAAAAGAAATGAAAAGAAAATACATATGAAATGATGAGAATGGATTCTCAAAACCACACGAGGGACTGAATTCAGTCCAGATGAAAATGTTTCATGGTGGTACACACAGCACTCCCAACTGTTTCCCATGTTTTTATTAATATGTTTTTAAAATAATCGTTATTATAGAGAACCTTTAACACTTCATTGTAGTCAGTGAACGAATTATAAAATCAGCATGGGGCTCTTTTCAGATCTTATTAGCCTCCTGGGTGTTTTGAATTTGAAAGTTCCATTGCATAGCTCATCAAACATGTTTAAAAGTCAGGCTCCTGAATCAAAATTTTCTGCAGTATAATTTTTAATGACTTTTTACAGTTTTGATTTTGAAATTATCTGCCTAAGTAATTCATCATTTAGTAAAACCAAATTATTTGTTCTGAACATAAACTCTCAAAAATCAAAAGACAAATTAATGAAGAGGAACTTGAAAGGAAAAGTGTAAATACAGTCACTGCACCTGCCTGCCAGGGTAGCCGGGTGAGCCAATATCACCTGCAAATCCTGGAACCCCCTGAAATAAAAAATAAATCAATAAGACAATACAACAAACTCACAGGAGAACAAATTTGATGTTTGGAACAATTTTCCCCCATAAAATTACTGAGTACTACTAGAAAATGCAATGCACAGAGAAAGGGAACCATCAACCTTACCCAGCTGTGAACCTTGCAAGCTACAGTAACAACTGGCTTGGCAAAATAGGCCCACTGGTGAAAGAGTGGTACAACTATTATGGGAGGAACCAACCACCTTCTAAATGGATTTAAGGCCCACTTCATAATAAAGTTTATTCCTGATATTGTTATCAGGGCCAAGGACCTGTGACTAGACAAGTAACAGACCATAGGGGAGAACTTACTGCTATAATTCTGCTAAATAGACATATTATTAAACTGACTCCCATAATATTAAACTAATACCCACAAACTGATGCATCTTTCAGCTCTCACCAGAGAAACTTCTTGTAACAGATGGTGAGTAACAAAACAGAGACCCACTGGTCAATTTGCAGAGAACAAGTGACTGTAGTGTGCTCAGCCCTAAACGGGACACTTATACAGCACCCTCTCTTCCCAAGGCTCAGGGATCATTGTGGAAGAGGAGGTGGAAAGATTATAAGAGCCAGGGATGGTAGATGAATGCAAGGAAACTGCTGACTGGATACCACAGGATAGTTACAAAATGAAACCACAATACTTAAGACAACATGTACAAGACCTGTGTAAACCCAAGCCAGGCAGGGGTCCAGCATGGATGGGGGAGGTGGGCAGAAAGCCCCAATCCTAGCTGAGGATCTATTGGTAGTTGATAGATGCTGGGAAAGGGAGAGTCAGTTTTCCTTACTGGTGTGATGCCTGGTAAGTTGAGCAGACTCCAAGGGATAGACCCACACTCAAGAGCACTTGGGAAACATAGATTAAACTTGATAAGCCTTTAAAAAAAAGACAAATAATAATAGAGCCCATGAAGTTGGGGGGGGGTTATAAGGTGGGGATAAAGAGGGGGAGGGGTCTATGATCAAAATACACTATATGAAGTTCTCTAATCAATAAAAAATGTTTTAAATTACTGAGCATTGCACATTGTATTTATATATAAAAGATTACTTTATTAATCTGTACTACATATTTTATTCCTGAAATGTTCATTGGTATCTATCATGTACCAGGTACTAATTACTTTATATACATGTAATCTTTTTTAAAAAGATTTATTTATTTTTATTTTATGTCTGCATATATATGTACCACATGTATGCAGTGCCCCCAGAGGCCAGAAGAGAATGCTGGATCCCTTGGAGTTAAGAGTTGCAGGCAGTTGTGAGCTGCTATCTGGATGTAGCAGCTATCTGGGACCTGAACCTGGGATTTCTGCAAGAGCAGCAAGTGCTTTTAACAGCTAAGCCATCTCTCTAGCCTCTTGTATATATTACCTTAATCAATGTGTTAAAAAACCCTATGAAATAGATATTACTATTCCTATGTCATAGATGTGCAAAAAAGAATGAAATTTTTAAGCCACCAGTGGCAGGTCACATGGCTAGTACATGGTGGATCAGAATTTAAGTTGATGAGCCTGGTTCCAGAGACCACTATCCAAGCCTACTTCCCTAGCATGAGTTTGAAGTGCAGGTAACACTTTAGGAAATGCCTTCCAAGTAAGTGTGGGATTTGCTTCAGTATACTTATAACTGTCTTCTTTCATGTTCCAACCAATTCCAAAATACAAAGGCCTAAGCTGGGAGATTCACAAAACCCTTTATTCGGATATGAGGATGAAAACATTTTTATTTGGATATGAAGATGGAAAGGGTGAGCCACATTTAAGAGGCTGCTTTTATTCATAGGTCCCTGTCTCTCTAATGCCAACCATTCCTAGCTAAATTAGTTTAACTGAACTCAATTTAAGAAAAAGGAAATCTGTTACAGGACATGGGGGCAATCTGAATCTGAATGAATTTTCACATGTAGGGATCTAACATATCCCAGCTGCACAGACATAAACAAAGAATTCACTCCATGTCTAAGTTCTGCTGTGTTAGACAAGCATCAGGTAGAACAAACAAGCAACTTCCCTTGTAGTCTTCCTAAGGCCCAAACACACTGTGGGCCACCCCCCCTACACCCTAAAAATTATGACAATCACAGAAACACAAAAGCACCATGGCTGAGTTCACACTACACTTAAAAAACGGATTTTAAAAAATATGTTAATTTGAGCAACTAGGATCGAGAAATTAAGAAGCTTGTCCCAATCTTATATCCCACTCAAAGCACTGAAATTTCTGTGCAGAGTTGGCAAGCTTCACTCAGAATCCCAGCCTTGCTATTATGGGTCTGGTCTATACAATTGCAATTTTCTCATTAGCAAAATAGGATAGTAATAACCAGACCATGAGATTGTTGTGTGGAGAAAACAGAACAGCATAGGAGATTATCTGAGAGTGGAGATAACTGTGATAAAAAGAGTATTCACTTAATTAGCATATGCAAATACAGTAAGTTGCAGTTAATGGTACCGTTTGGCAAATAGTATTGGCCCGTGACTAGAATCAAGATGAAATAATTGCCCTGTTAAATGTTTGCTGGCCAATTTGTTGACAAAATTCCCAAAATGAATGTTCTTAGTAAATCGATTATTCTCTATTTCATGTCCAGTGTTTCCACAATTGAAATGCAATATTTTAGTTGTTCCTCAAAGTTAACACAAATTTGACTCTTCTTTTCCAGTCTTTGTGTGTATGTGTGAGTGCATGTCTGTGTATGTGAGTACATGTGTGAGTGCGTGTCTGCATATGTGGGGGTGTGTGGGAGTGTACATGTGTGTATGTATGTGGAGACCAGATTTCAACCTTGAGTGTTGTTCCTCAGAGCCATATACCTTATTTCTTGAGACAAGTTCTCTCACTGAGACCTGAGGCTCACCATGTAGTCAGCTAGTCAGCAAGATCCAGGGATCCCTGTCTTCACCTAAGGACTTTTACAGGGGTACTGAAGATTGAACTTAGGTCCTCATGTTTGCATGATAAGCATTTTATGACCCAGCTATCACCCAGCGCATATTTTATAGTGTTTAAAACTGATTTTAGACTCCCTAATTGGTATCCTACCTTCAGAATAATAATGTTCATCCTAGCAGAATCACAAATTGAGCAGTTGTGAGAAATGACATGGCTATTTTTTCACCGATTTGTGAAGTATCAGGTTTCCTTCATTGGAATCCACACATTTATGCCAAAGCAGTATTCTAGGGATTTCTTTTTTCTCCCAAGGGGCTAATTCCCATCACCCTTCTCATATTTCTCTCCTGTAAATATCCACATGCTTTTCAGCACTTGTCTGATCTTCAGGACGCCAAGACTGGACCTGTTACAGATACATGCTGTCCTTGCCGTGTCAAGTTGTTGGATAGGCTTGTCCTCCGAATGACCAACAACAGATGGATGTCTTCTTCTCTAGCTTCTCCCCCGATTACTTCAAACTGGTTGGAACCTAAGACTCTCAGTAGGAAGGGAAGGGCAGAGGGAGACAGTCACCCCTCCCACCCAATCAGTCAGCCTTAACTGTGTGAGGGGGAGGGACTAAGGATAGACACAGGGGAAGCAGGGGAGGAAGAGGGCACTTTGCCATCTTGGACCAGCAACTGGGCCGGGCTGAAATGTAGAGAAAGAAAAAAGCCCAAGGGTGCTCATTCTTTGTAAGTACCCCTCACTACCATCATATGCTCTGTTAGCAAGCCCAATAAATATTTTTATTCCATAAACTGTAGTTTGGAGGAATAATTTCTCAGTTTGTCATAAGGACTGAGGGAGAAGTAGGCTGCAGCAAGCCTGGAAGCCTAAAGCACATACCTCCCAGCAGTAATTCAACTTGCAAAAGTAATTTAGTAATTTTGACAACTTGTGCCTCAGGGGCTGGACACAGCATACCATCCCACTTAAAGTGAATCAATGAGAAAATTGGCTTTGCTTCTTCATTTGTCTATTTCCTTCAGAGATTAACCTGGAGAGAGAACCTGGAGTTCTCTTTGGGTCCTCTTCCCCTGAGGCTGGATGTTGAATCATTGATAACAGTATCCATTACCTTATGAGAATGACTTCCAGAATGCTAGTTCATCTTGTTTACAAAATGTTACAACATAAACAAGCTACCTAGGCCTTGGGCTCCTCTTGTGACTTAAACATACAGCTTTAACCACTCATGACCCTTCCTTGCTCTTGACCCAGAATAATGTGTGTGTGTGTGTGTGTGTGTGTGTGTGTGTGTGTGTGTGGTTGCACTTCAGGAAGCATATCATTGGAAGCAATGAATTATCCCATTAACATTATAAACAACAGGTGGGATTAGACTGATAGCATCTGTTTGTTGTGTGTGATACTCTAGGTCAGCAGGGGCCAAATAAGACTAGATAAGACAAGTTCCTCTTTTCCTTCCCCATTGATGCTGATGCACAATTTAAATAGAGAGAAACTGAGGCCTGGTTTTGGAGCACAGTTCTGGGAGAACTCTGAAAGAACAGGTTCTCAGAAAGGCTGAGGTTCCACTCTTGGTTGAAATGGATGCTAAGAATCAGGTTGTTTCTGTTCAGGCATTGCTGTAATGTGCCATTATATAATTTCAAAACTATTTTGACTTTCAAATAGTACATATGTGTACTATTGAAAGCAATGAATTCTAGCTTGAAATGTCGAATGGTTTTAGGGAACAGAAAAGTTTCTAAAATTGAATGAAAAATCAGGTATGTGTATGGATATATATTTTTTGGGGGAAAGTGTGTGAAGCATTTATAAGATTCTCATGCAGAGCTGTGAATGACAGAAGTTTAAGAACTGCTAATCTGGAACATATTAGGCAAATGAAGAAAGGGAATAATAGTGAAATGTTGCCACTTTCTGAAAATAACCTATAGCTGGTCAGTTTAAAGGTTTTGTTTCTTTGTTCTACATAGACTTGAAAAGCACTAAGAACCAAAGCTGAAAGACTCTCAAGTCTCTCAGTGTCTGTCACTTTCATGGAGAAGATGCAAGTCTTTTAAAGAAAGTATTTACCTGTTCACCACGGAGACCTGGGAGCCCGGGATGTCCTTTGAGACCCTGCAAAGAAGTAAGTGAAGATACGCCACAGTAAATCAACTTATATGAGGCATTTAAATAACTAAACTAGGTTCTAAGTTTACTTGGGTTATTTGTTTTGTTTTATTTCTTAATACTGGGGACGGAACCAGGACTGAACCCAGGGTCTCATACAGGCTAGACAAATAAGCACTCTACCACTGAGCCACCCTCGGCCCATAATTTGCTTTTTATCACCACTTTGATTTCCCTCATCAACACAAGATTCTCCCTATTTTTTCAGTCTCCATAAGTCTAATATGGTATCCATTGCACCATGGAGCCACATACAGTCTCCATATTTCTTATTAAAGTTAAGCATTTCGATTGAACAGAGTTTAATTTCTATTAAAAATCTGCTGTTTTTTAAAATTAATTTTAATGCTATCCAAATGAGAGAGAGTAAAGTACATCTTTTATAAAAAGTTCCTATCAAGTAATGGACCTACTACTTTTTAAAAGTTCATTTTAGTTCAGTGATGTTAAGATAAAATGTTTTCAAATGCAATCTGTTCGCAATTGTTGAAAAGCGCGACTACATCCAGTCAGTCTCTCTAATCCAATCACTGCTGAAACAATTCATAAATGAACTGACTCAAAGGACAGAGACACTCCAAGATTCAGCAAAATAAATTCTGTAACGTTGTCTAAGAAATTAGCAACAAGAACCTTTCCAGGTACTAGAACCACAATGAAACCTTAATCCCTTTTGTTAGCACCTAAAATTAAAAAATACATGATATTCTTCCTCTAGAAAAAACTTAAGGAGCAAAATGAAAGAAGTTAAAAGAAAAAAAAACAAACCAAGTTTCTGTTCCCACTTCTACAGATAAAAAACTTCAAGCTAAAAGAAGGTAAGAAATGTCCCCAAATTGGAGTGAAGCCAGGAAGGAAGGAAGGAGGAAGGAAGGAAGGGGAAGGAAGGAAGGAAGGAAGGAAGGAAGGAAGGAAGGAGCTTATTGGTATGGTTCTAATCAAACATCAATGAATTAATATATCATTTCCAGAGACTTTGATACATATAAAAGAACAAAAAATAATCCTTTTCTCTCTCTCTTTTTTGGGTGTGTCTACTTTTATGGGTATGTGTTCTTATATGTGCGTGTGCAACATGTGCACGTATATGAAGAGAGTATGGGTCAAAGTTGGTTGTATTATTCAATCACTCTCTACTTTACATTTAGCTTGTTTGCTTGTCTGTTTGACACTGGGTCTCCTGTAGCTCCAGCCGGCCTTCAACTCACTATGTAGAACAGGCTGGCCTCCATCTCATAGAGATCTGCCAACTTCTGCCTCCTGAGTGCTGGGATTAAAGGCATATGCCACCCATCTCCAGTCATTCTTTTGTCTCTACTTCCACAGTCTTGGAGGGTAGGAGGTCCACAGATTTGTACCCTCACCCCTGGTTTTTTATATGGTTGCTGAAGGTCTAAACTCAGGCCTTCATGATTGTGCAGCAAGTAATTTATTGACCTAGGCATCTTCCCAGACAGAGTCTTCTCTTAAAAACCTCATAGAAATTTAAGCAAGCTATAACTCAAACTGTGAAATAAATAGTTGATAAACATCAAAAATGTCCCATGTATACATTGCAAATAAGACAGGATTTTAGGGATTCACAATGCAACCTAATGGAATGAACCAGGATTAATCATTGAAGATTTATAAGAAAGGACAAGTTTGGATCAATGATTGTAGAGAAGGAAATGATGACCTTGTTACACCGTGAGCTTACCTGAAGAACAAGAAATGATTTAAAGCATAAAATATTTAAGCACAGAGGTCCTTGGGAACTGCTATAGTTTGGAAATAGTATGTCCCTGCCAATCAGATGAAATTTGATTCCCAGGGTAACAATGCCGAGAGATGATGGAGTCTTTAAGAGGTGATTAAGTTCCTAAGAAGATCAATGCCTTTCTTGTAGGAGTGTGTTCTCTCTCTCATGGGACTTGATTAGTTACCCTAACAGTCAGTCTTCCTCGGGCTGCCCTTTCTGTCTTTGCCCCTCTGCTTTCTACTATGAGTGATGCAGAGAGCACAAGGCCCTCACCAAAAGCCAAGAAGATGCCAGCACTATGCTGCTGGACTTTCCAGCCTCCAGAAACATTAACCAAGGTAAAACTCTGTTCTTTGTAAGTTGCCCAGACTGCTGTATTGTTCCAGCAACAAAACATGAACTAAGACAGGAACCCGAGAGAAGACAGAGAAACATTAGGAGTTTAGAGAAAAAAGGTTTTTGTGTTATTTCTATAAAAAATTAGAGGAAAGAGGGAAAAAATCGTGTCCTCTGTAAGCCAGATATTTTGTGATTAGACTATGAGAGAGAGATCAGCCATGAGACAAAAAAAAGAGAGAGGAACTGGGGCTGGAGAGATGGCTCAGCAGTTAAGAGCACTGGCTGCTCATTAAAAGGACTTAGGTTCAGTTCCCAGCACCCACAGGGAAACTCACAACTGTTGGTAACTCAAGTTCCAGGGGATCCAATGCCCCCTCTGGCCTCCATAGGCATTGCACAACACAGGTGTACTCATATGCAGGCAAAACACTCATGCATATAAATATAAAAATAAATAAAAATTTAACAAAAGAGAGGGACAGAGTAGATGAATGACCCTTATTGAGCTGCTGCATACCAAAGTCATTTCCAATAATCTCAGGCAGTTGCTAGATCAACCCTATGAAGTTGGTATTGCCTCTGTTTTATACAGATGACGAAACAACTCTGAGTTCAATGACTTAACCAAAATCATGGAGAATCACATGTGTTTAAAATATGTATCAAGAATTGAGAAATCTGGGGCTAGAGAGATGTCTAAGTGGTTAAAAGCACTGACTGTTCTCTCAGAGGACCCAGGTTTGGTTCCCAGCACCCACTTGGCTGCTAACAACCATCTGTAACTTCAGTTCCAAGGGATCCGATGCCTTCTTCTGTCCTCTGCAGGCTTTTCATGACTTGGGTACACTTACATACATGTAGGCAAAACAGTCATACACATAAAATAAAAATAAATAAATTTTAAATAAAGAATTGCACAATCTGCCTTTTGAGTTACTTTATATGCCTCTCACAGCTCTGTGTCCAAACTCATCCAAAAAAGGATAGTGCCTATTATCAGTCATAGGTTTATTACTTCTAACTGCATCAAATTTATGCAGAGTTTCCACTCAGTTTCATTTTAAGCTTTTACATCTATAGATTAATCTAAGTACAAAATATGAGATATTGTGCTTGGTTGTCCAAATATTTACACATTCCACAAAGCTAAGCTGTTTTCCTGCTCTCGAGTAGGAAATAAGAAGCATCCTCAGCGCTAGACCTGGTGCTGGGGTGAGGGAGAGCTCTAAGAAGGGCCTGGTAGAGTCAGAAAATGAGGACCGAGGAGCAAGGCGGGAGGCACGTAGCTCTCCGTGGTTAACGTGTTCGCTTACTTTTACTCTCCTGAGCCCTGTGTCTATAGTTGCAGGCTTTGTTTTCCCTGACACTTTTTTTTTCTCTCCTGCTTATAGTGAAATAGCATGAAATGGTGACCTAATTTCTTTAGACTATTTTTCCCAGAAGCATTCTGTAACAGTGACAGAGATGTCGATCACGGTATCTTCTACATGCATCGCTCCCTCCTAAAGGACTCTTCTTCACTCAGAGAGTCTGATGAGATGGCAACAACACACAGCCATGACCTGTTCATGAACTCACTCTTATCCATCCTCATTCACTCAGGTTGGCATTTGACCCAAAGGAGGACAGTGCAGAGTCTGGTCAGTAGCCTTTGCGATGACTTCAAATGAGGACTTTTGCCTAAATAAAGATTTGCTTAATAACCTTTTCTTACTGACTTTTATTAGTTGAAAATTTCAGCTGTTTCATAGTGGGGATAAGCAGATGGAAAGATTCACAAAGAAGACACACTGAGATGTTGCAAGAAAACCAAAATTAAGAGCAGCACATATGTTGAGAGTGGAAGTGGTCCGAGGAGAAAGAAAGGCAACTTAAAAAGGCAGACCAGGGAGGGCTGAGGAGTGTTAGGAGGGAACACATTACACATCCACAAACACGTTGTGAGCTATCCAGAGCTGCTTTGCATTGGCGCCTGTCTCTGTGAGCCTGTCATGTTATAGGATATAGTTTTAGAGCCTGTGTGATCCCTGTTTCCCTTACTGTGCAGAGAGGCTTGGAATACTGACCCCCTTGAGATGGCCTCTGTCACCATTCTTTGCAAGCAAAAAAGCCTAAGTAAAACAAGATGTTTCTTGTGTTTGTTTCCAGTGTTAGTTATGCAAATAACCACACTCACTGGGTTTTCAATCTAATCTCTCACTAAGTAGTCAATACCAAGAGCCTCAGTGTCATTACCTGTAAAATTATAGCACCAAATGAGATATTGGCTAAATTCCTATTGATAGAATTCTGTGATTACAAGACTCTGAGTCTTCAGTTTTAAAATTCAGCTCTCTCTCTCATTGGATGAAAAGCAAAAACAGATCTGAGACTCAAATTTGACTCAGAGACATGGAAAGAATTCAAGATGGATGTATCTGAAAGCAAACCCAGATGCAGACTTCCATGGGTATTTCATGTGACCAAAACCAAAGATGGTGCTGAGATGAAATGGCCCCACAGGCTCATGTGGTGAATGGTTAAATCCTCACCTGGTGGTGCTATTTTGGGACGCTCTGGATAGGACATGGGGCCTCGCTGGAAGAAGGTCACTGGAGGTGTGCTTTTAAGATTACACCAGGCCCTGGTTCCTTTCTAGCCCTTTGCTTCCTGATTGCTTTGAGGTGAAGAGCTTCCTTTTTACATTCTCCTTCCGTGATGTTCCTTCTGCCTCATGGTGGACCTAGAATCAGTGCAGTCAAGGACTACAGACTGAAAAACCTGAAACTGTGACTAAATTAAGAATTCCTTCTTTTATGTTGTGCTTTCAGACCCTGGGGTTATAGCTATGGAAAAGCAGGAACAGTGAGGAAACACTGGGATGAGC